TATATATATATATATATGTATTATAAAACATGTGTTTCGAATCAACTTCTTCGCATGAAACCATATACAGCTAACAATAACTTTTCTGTGCGCACATATTAGCTGACATTTCGTGAAAATGTTATGTAAAAATTTTTAAATGTACAAATTAACGATCTTTTAAGACCAAAAATATGACGCGGAGAAATAAGAATGGTGATTAATCTTTCGGCAGAAAGTCACTCTGTAAAACTATTTAGGTATTCATATAGTCGGATATTATTTTTAAGATCGTTTTAAGTATATCTTAGCCAGAAAGACGACTTTGTAAAACTTTTAAAAATAAATTTAAGATCGGATCCTAAATACAAGATCGGATGAATACCGTTCTCAGAGTAAATCTTTATGAAATGTAATGCAATGGACCGAATGTCTTATTAATGTCTTGTTACTATAAATTAACTTTGAAAACTTGTTTCTAAAATATTGTTAAATTGAAGGGTGAATTGAATTCAACACATTTTCTTCAAGAAATAAAAATTAATTTAAATATTTGTGAGAAACTATAACATCTGCACATCTCACATGCGCCCTACGAATGTCTCTCGAACCGCGCCATCGTTTTCATGCTACGCGTGTCCTGGAAACAATAGGAAGTTGCACCATGCGATCATATGCGATAGAAGTTTGTTCCGACTAGTTCTCGCGCGAGCGTGCATTAAACGCGAAAAGCTTGCCGTTTGTCGACGAGTATCGTGCGCAAGAAGTTAATATTTCTGTGTTTTCAAAACGCGCGCGAGGTGCATGACTTAAAAAATGGAGATAATTCACGACACGGAGCCGGACTTTTCAAACGCGAGGACACTACACTTTCGCGAACTGATAGATAGAAAGGACAACGACGGTCGCTCGATACAAGATGGCATTTTTGGCACCGTATATAGAGGAACCACCGTTAAAGGGTAAAAAACGTTATCTTTATTTATTTATGACGATTCACAAATCTCCGAAAAATACTTTCCCCCGAAAGTTATTCGCGCGGAAAAGGTTTACGATTATTTTTCCGAATTTCAATTGGCAACGTTCTCGAGTATCTAAGTAGATTAAATCCGTAAAAACGTAATAAATAGTTGCAAATGACGAGTATATGTCATTTAATATGTATTTCATTTAGAAACGACGTTAGCAAAATTTACGTACGGATACAAGCATTATGTAGATGACTAATTAATTATATTGTATAAATTACATCCATAAATACAACCGATGTACCTACTAGCTAGATCTTCATTAACAAGAAAAGATTTCGACAGCATAATTTAATGCGGTTATAATCAAATCTAATTATAACCGCACTTTTGTGCTGCAAACGTTGACGATCATTCAATTTGATACATCGGCTAGAGTAAACTTTGCAGTTCACACAGATTTTCATTAACATTAGTAAAGTTCTTCCTTCACATTATAATAGTCTTTCGAGAAATGCGTTTTGCAAAATGCATCATGTGTCCAATAGTGCATATTACTGCAGACTTGAAGCAATTTAAGTTGACAAATCAAAAACTGTAGATAAGTATTTTAAGGGTTAACGCAGATATTGATGCAAAATGACATACAATTGTAATACTTAAAAATAAATAGTTTCGATGTTTGTTTAGC